GCCAGATTTTATTTTATTTTTTTCCCAGAAAACCCAGGGATATAGATTTCACTTGACATTTCCCTATTTTTAAAAAAAATGGAAACTAATTCTTTACCTTTTAAAGAAACTATGTACAGACCAAAGAAAATATTACTGGAGGATGTGGTTATGAGGTCTCCGATGAGAGTACCCAGCTATTCACACTGCATGAGCAGGTAACAGAATGTAGTAGAAAAGAGCTACTCTTCAGATGAACCTGAAATTCAGTGTAAGTGCTCAGTAAACATCTGTTGACTAGGATTTTACAACTCTTCCGAGATCTGTGGCAACTTTCTGTTCCTGTGCCCTGTTACCCTAAATCATCTGTTTTGGCACTTCCGGGAGAGTCACGTGCTTCCGACTAGTCTCTGGGGACTCTTTTCTCCCCTCCCCCGCTTTTGTCTCCCAATCTTTGTGGTGGAAACTCAGTTCTGTGTGCTTGGCATGAGCTCAGATGACAAGTAAGATTTTGCTGACCAAGTTCTGCTGTGACCCGTGCCAAACAACAGAAGCCTTGGGAGCCATTCTAGAGTCAGTACGGCAGCAACCTGACTGTCTTCTGGAAAAGAGTCGGTTGCAGTTGCCTGGGGGTTAGGAAATTTCTCCTGCTGGCTCTCAGGCTAACTTCAAAAGAATCACTGATTACAGCACTTGTATTAACGTACTGTAAACCTTCACTTGGTGACCAAGCAATACCCACAAATATGACTCCCAGGAGGTGGACCAGGAAGTTACCTTATTTGTGCTACAAACCTACATTAAAATAAAATGTTCGTGAGTGAGCACACATTATGTGCTACATGTTGTATGCTGTTCAAGATAATTCCATAACCTAAAGGACGCATGAGGCTAAAGGTTTCAAGGCATCAACCTGAATGATCTGAGCTTTCAGAATGATTTATGGAAGAAACTATCTCCAATTAGATTTGGTTTTATCACACACATACACACAGATACACACACACACAAACATACACACACACATACATACAACCATTACTTACATTGTCCTTTTACGTGCCCAACGGTTTTCTAAACAGCTCTATGTATTTACATGACAGTTAAGTAGTACTATTGAGATCCTTTTTTGTTATCCCTGCTTTAAGGAGAGACAATGGAGGCAGAGGTTAAATTTGCTGAAGGTCAAACAGAACAGTTACTAATAGAGCTAGTATTTGAACTTCAGCAGTTCAAAAAAAAGAATGATTTTCAGAGCCATTCTTTGCCTATGTGTATAGTTAAGTATGATATTTATTACATCCTTTGGTAAAATACTTCTCTTACAGATCTGACAATGTGTGGTAGTTTCTAACACTATAGTTCAAAATAAGACAAAATGCAAATAAATAAAAATATCCTTAATGTCAGAGGCTCTGGAGCTTTGGTACTATTTTGTTTTTTTTGTTTTTTGTTTTTTTTGGTTTTGGTTTTTCTCCGGTACCGGGAACCGAACTCACGACTTTGTGCTTGCCAGGCAGGCACTTTGCCGCTGAGCTAAATCCCCAGCCCCTGCTTTGGTACTATTTTGGAAGGTTCCAAAAAATAGTGGCCTTTAGATCAAGGCTGTTCTGGATGGAAAACAGCCATGTGACAGATAAGTTTTCATTGTAAAATGAAAAATAAAAACACACATTTCAAATTGTTGTGTCAACTTAGTAGTTCTTAGAACAGGGCCAATACATAACAAATGCTCAATAACTATTAGTCTTTCCACCACTTATGTATTCATAACTTATGTCATATATATTCTTCTTTTGAATAGTTAAAGGTCCAGCATATGTCTGCCATTAAACTTGGACAGCAGAGGCGGCAAAGATCAGGTATTCATTTCTTCTTCCTTCACAGTATATGTTCTAATGGAGGAGACAGAGGCATAGGAAAACTAATTCAATAAATGTTATTCAAGGGACCTGCAAAGAAATATGGACCAGTGTAGACATAGTGATCTATTCCATCTGGAAATCTGGGAAAGGGAAGTGACATATACACAGATATCTGTGGCCAAATGATGGTTTTCCAGAGACCACTGATGCAATGTTATGGAATCGTGGAAATGCTTCATGTCTCAGAAGGAATAGTGGTGAGCAGCATGGAGCCCAGTTGTGCAAAAGGATCACTATCTGCCCGCCCTAAATAAACATCTCTGATGGCTCCCAGCTATATTTAGCACACTTTGTTTTTTTAAGAACAATTTTAGACTTACAGAAAAAATCGAGCAAATAGCACAGAGTTACTACCATATTACCATATACTACTTGCCCTCCATAGATTATTCTGGTACAGAATTCTGGATTCAACATTCTTGACTAAACACTAGAATAGGATGGCAGTGGGTTTCCAGGGCGAGGGTGCAGAGAATTGGAGAAAAAGAATGATCTGGCTGAATAGAAAGACTGGCAAGCTCAAACAGGGTAGCAACCTGCCCCATGGTCCCTGCTGAAGGGACTGGACTGGATCCTGCAGAGTACAGACAGGCAGCGAATGAATTTAGTTGGGAAGCAAGATTTTTCTGACTCACATTTTAGACAGCAAGCCGGGGGGACGTGTCCATAGTGGATGATAATTTATGGCAAGGTTTCAAAGATGATGGATGCAACTCGAGACCATACTCATAAGTGAAATAGATCAGATCCATATGTGGAAACATCGTATTGTCTCACTAGTGTGAGAAACTGAACGGGTAAATAAGATCCAAAATGTACAATAGCTATTGTGAACTGGGAAGAAACTGTTCAAAAGAAAAGAAACTGTGATGTGGGAAGGGGAAAGGAAGAAAGGGAAAGAGGAAAAAATATATGTATACACAAGATAGTTAAGGTAGTTGCACTGCTAATTTTTCTTAGTTCATTAAAAAGAAAGTTTTGTGCTAATGTTGGATGGACAAGATATCATGCTTATGTCTTCTACTCTGAGCAGCTACCAGGAAGACAACAATACACGGTGGGTCAGCTGTTGTAACTGTCCTACTAATCTGCTTTGGAACTCGGTTCCATTCTTACTTTTATCTTTTTCTCTTTAAAATAAAAACAACAAAGATGAGTAGGAGTAACGTTGCTCAGGCTCCAGGAGAGATGATGAAGGGAAAGACGGAGTGGATTGACCAGGCATGGCCCACAAGAGGGAAGGAATGGTGTTATCTTCAGGGACAGAACCTGGGGCATTGCTGAGAGACAACAGAAGCTACATGCCATGGGGCGGGGAGGAAGGGAGGTGACTTCAGTTTCCTGGCTTTGAGGAGCCAGGTTACTGGCTCTCTCTCTCCTCCTCACATGCTCTCCATCCATCTCTCACACGCTCTCTCTCTCCTCCTCACACGCTCTCCATCCATCTCTCATGATGTTCCTGCCTCTTCTCATTTCTGATTTAGTCTTTTTTTTGTCTCTTGCCAACTTCCCAGTTAACTCAGGCTCATTATACAGGGTACCGGTCCCATCCTTGATTCTGTGGGAGCTGTTTGCTCTGATGACCATCCCCAGCAGATGCTGACAGATACATTTTTGAAGCGGAGCTCATCTGTTTTTTCTCCGGTACCGGGAACCGAACTCACGACCTTGCGCTTGCCAGGCAGGCGCTTTTGCTGCTGAGCTAAATCCCCAGCCCCCGCGGAGCTCATCTGATTGATTCACTTCTTACTTTCACATTCAACTCATCTTGCCCAGGCTGTATGTTGACTGTCCTGGGCTCAGACGTCCCCACCCAACCTATTCACTGCTAGCATATTGGGAAGGCAAATCATCAGATGATACAGAGCATGCATGCTTTGACAGAAGGAACAATGGCAGAGCAGATGTCATAATTATGTCTAATGAAAATGGAAAGTATAAACTGATTAGTCTGGGAGTGGTGATACACACCTGTAATTCCAGCACTCAGGAAGCTGAGGCAGGAGGATTGCCATTGAGTTCGAGGTCGGCCTGGGCTACATAAGCGAGTTCAGAGCCAGCCCTCTGGAAGTTGGAGTAGGGAGCTAAATGGCTATCAAAGAAAAGGCAGCCAGCAGCAGTCAAATTCAGGTAAGAAGGTTTGGATGATCCCGGGTTCCAGGTATTGCAGCAGCTGGTATTCATGGCCCCAGTGTGCGGCTTCTTGGCAACTCAATTCACTTCTGATTGCTGGGTGTAAAAACTGGTACTTTTTTTTTTTAGAACAGTTACATACTATTGTGCGAAAGCCTTTGACATGATCCTAACACAGGAATTACACTTTAGAAACAGACCATAAATGATTAAGATGGGCAGAATGTTGTATTACATAGATGTGCACCCAAGCATTATCTTTAATAGCAGAGTTCAGAAATGACTTCAGTGTGTGACAACAGCGGTTGGTTAAATAAGATTTAGTTAAAATTCTGGAGTGGAGCTCTATGCAGCCACTTCAAAAATGATGCAGAAGAGGGATTGGCAAACTTTAGCCCACGCGCCAAATGGCCCACTGCTTTTATTTGTAAAGAAAACTGAGGGGAGCAAGGCCATAAGCACCACTCTGGGTTGTCTACAGCTGCCTCTAAGTCCCCAGCAGAGCTGACAAGTATGACTATCTGTATGTCCTTATTACCGGTTCTTTTAATATTTATTTAAGTTCTCCCTTTGCCCCTAGAGTACTATGACATTTTTGGTCAATATTAAGACAAAATATTACAGGGATGATAAATTGAAATACATGGTGTTTATTCAAAAAGATCCCATCTAACACATTAGCCAATACTCTAATCTCAATGGAAACACGAATTTTCCATCTCTAATTCAGCGGGACAGGTGCGAACAATGACGGTCAAGCTGTGGCCCGCAGGGGCAGCACGTGCCTTTCTTTCCTCTTTCCCCACTCTGCCTTCCACCCTGCTTGGCTTTGTCTCCCTTGAGGAGAGTAAAAAAGGCCCAGAGGACACACAAGACAGAGAGGGACAGAAATGTCCTTACCTGACAGGTGCTTTTACAGAAAGCCCTCATACACTCTGGTCTGGGCAAACACGCTCACTGTCGGGCACTTCCGTGCTTAGTGTTTTCAGAGCCCAAACCTCAGGGGGCAACCTGTAAAGCACCAGGCCTTCTTCCTGCAGCTGCTGCTAGCCTTGCTCTTCCGTGCTTCTCCACGTGGACTGTTGTGTCAGCATCTGGGTGCCCTTGCTTGGGTGTCTGAGGTAAGATCACACTGCTTCAGCTCTGGCTCCATTGCCCTTTCCCCCGTGTCCCCAGTAAGGATCCACACAAATTTCAGCTTGGCACCCGCGGGGCACACAGCCGGCCCCAGTATAGCAACATGCTTTTCTGCTTCAGCAGCTGGACAGCCAGTGACTCATCCTCACCCTTGGGGGGTCTACATGGACGGGGCACAGACTCTCTCCCTCAGCACACGTCTGCAGCAGCCAGGAGGCCCGAAGCCTCCTTGATCACCTCCCTCACTTAGCTGAGGAGACAGGCGTCTCTTTCCTGCCTCCCTTGGTGAGAAGCAGTGAGGGGTGGAAGCAGAGAGCTCATGCCAGACAGGCCCTCAAAAATCTCTGCCCGCCCATTCTTTGACAATGAGCCCTCTAAATAGTTCTGCTCCATCCTGGTTCTTTCCTTTGGTGATTGAATGGGTGATTTTCCTTCCTCTTCGCTGTGTTTTAAGGATAAATATACATTGTATGTATGATAGCATATATAAAAGATTGTTTCTGTTGTAAAATATCACATTCAAATCTTTATCTTTTGTTCTGAGTATTCAAATCTACCAAGTGGACTAGAAAACAACATTGCTGTTCAAAGTCTAAGAGTTACGGGTTTATTTCGCTAACATAGAGCCTATTTTAAAAAGGAAGTTTAATTTCTCAACATGGGATATTTTATTTCAGACTTGTCGTATAGCACGGGGTATTTTTTTTCCTGGTAGATACAAAACTCAGCTTCAACACTAACAAAAAAAATTCCTTTAACTTACTGCCTGCTTCCAACTCCAGCTAATTACTTGAACAGCAGCACCTTTAGCAGAGAAAAGCTGACACAAGGAACTGGACAAGGTCTGCGTCTCCAGTGCTCCGAGGAGAGAACAGTAAGTAAGGTCCTCTGCACAGCTCAATAATTTGCACTGCAGGAAAGCCGCGCTTCCAAGGGCAGGCAATATGTCTGCAGCATCTTCCTGGAGGAAGGAGGGCCAGGAGCTCATCTTTATGGCTTGAGGCTTGGAAGCTGCTTAACTGGGCGGAACGCCACCTCCTTGCCATCAAAGCTGTCCACCTGGCAGTGAATCTCAATGAGACAGCTGACTGGCTCAGCAGACAAGTTGCTTTGCCAGGGGGATGAGAACTTCACCAGAAGGTCTTTCAGGAAATCTGCCTAGGATATGGGGGATGCAGGGTAAGGGAAGGATCAATTCATTCCCTGAATGAAGCAGATGAGGAGGAGTAGCTGCTCTCCACTTGCAGAAACCGTTTTGAGCTTTTCTGTACCCTTTGCTCACTTAGCATTAAATCATGTGAGTCTCTCATTCAAATGTTAGCAGAAAACATGGAGAGGACTTTTTAAGTGGAGCATGAAAATTGCTTCAGTACAAAAAAAAATGAAGCTAAGAACCTTAAAAATATTTCCATTAGAGAATACGAAATAACCAGTGAAAGCAAGAAGAGCACAGGGAAGGCATGACGTCTTTAAAATTTACAGCTGAAAAACATCTGGGATTGCTACTTTTTCTAAAGAATTATTATAATTATAAACCAAGTAATTATAACACTTACTTCAGGGCACTTGCTATGTATCAGGTACCATATTCATTACTTCACACACTGTTTTCTTCTAATGACCTTGAGAATTTTAAGGGTGAATCTTCTTGGCTTCACTCTACAGGCAAGAAAAACGAGATCCAGGCAGGTTTTGAGAACTGTCCACAGACATACAGTGAGTAAATACACAACCAAGTTTCACTCTCTAGTTTGTCTCACTCCAAACCCCGGAATCTCACCCACAAGACCGTGTGTACCAAACTGACCATAAAAGATAGCATTTTACCACAGGATGATCAGGCAGGGTGCAGGGAAGCTCTGTGTGGATGTGTGTGGGATGCGAGGATACTCCGTCAAACGCTCACATTTATCCCCACTTATTCCCTGCCCTGACTGCTCCCCAGCAGGATCTCTTGGGCAAGCAGCATTCAGAAGAACTCACGCATCGCTCGAAAGGGGCCCCTGCAGGGGAATTAAGTCAGCATCATACAGTTCTGTGCCTGCTCCCAATTTTTGGTGGTGGAATAAGGGGAGGAGGGGAAAGAATGAACCAAACTTGGCCATAACCTTCAAGAAATTCCAGTTTTCTTCCTGGCTTTGAGTTCTGACCAGAGATTTCCTCCTCTACCCTTGGAGACTAAAAAATTGTAATTCAACTTTTAAAATTGTATGTGTGTGTGTGTGTGTGTGTGTGTGTGTGTGTGTAATTTGTCCTTTTTAAGGATGCCTCTGAATCTTTTGGAATTGGGAAAGCTCAACTTCAGAAATATTAACAAAGGGAAAGTATGAAATAGTTGTGGACAGTCTGGAAACGAAGCCTACTCCTACTACATGGATACTTGGAAACAGCATTCAGAAACAGCTTAGTAGATCAAAGCACAGACCCAGTGTGACTCTGAGACCTACCATTTTGGGCTGCGTGATGTTGATAGAGCAAGCCACAAAATTTAAGTCTTGCTTTTCTTTATGTAAATAAGATCAATAGAACTTATCTCATAGGATGGCTATGAAAAATGCATGAGATAATCTAGATACAGTGCTTAAAATAATTTAGCTTATGGCAAACACTCAACGCTCATCATGTATTAATGATCTTATTGGTCCTGAGGGCTGCTCTTGTTTTAAAAATTGAAAAAGAAATGTCCTTTCTGCACAGAATGCTTCCTCCAATACATTCTTCAGGTTTCAGCCAAAAAATTATTTTCAATAAAGAAATTGTTTCTTCACTTAATTCATCATCAAAATGAGATAGAATGAGCTGTTTCTCTCCAAGATTAGGCTAAGTATCCATTCCAGATTCTTCTCCACCTCCTTGCTCTGACTACTGTTGTAGAACATGCCACACTATGCTGAAAAGAATTATTTACTCACCTGTCATTCCCTTAAGGACAGTGGCTATACTTTATTCCTGATCCCCAACACTGAGGTGTTTGAAATAAAGGATTTACAAACTAAGTATCTATGGGGAGAATGAGTGGGCATTGCTAAGGTTACACATGAGAATCTGTTAAGTTACTGGATGTGCTTACACTTCTTCAGTATATTGTGACATGCATTGTGGCTGTGACATTCAGCAATTCCCACTAAGCTTTCTGATACTGTTAAGAAAGCAGACATTCCATTCCCTGAATGACTGAACAACTTCTCCATATAGTAGGTTTCACTACGTGAGGAGTTTTCTCTAACTTTTGTTTTTCTGCATTGAACAAAATAAATAGTAGTTTCAAAAGAGACGAGTAGGTGTATAATCACTGTGAACAACTCAAATAGAAGTTATTTTCCTGGTGGTGTTCACAAAGCTCACCAGAATTTCCATGCTGATCTGCGGGAACTGCGATATGCGAGAGGTGAATACTTTTGTGACTCTAGGGACACAGAACACTGTTTAAGCTTCAAGACCCTGAAATGTGGAGGCTTTTTTGTAGGTTCTTTATTGTGCCCTCTTTCACATTTTCCAGCGTAGATCTCTGGGCTTTGGTGGGGCTTTCTGAAAAAGCCTCCCTAGACTGCAGATGGGAGAGAGAATCGGCTACTGCTCCGAAGAGAGTGGAGGGCAGCAAAATGAGCCAAGGCTTTGTATCTGCTCATTACAGGCACAACAGTTATGCAAACGAGAAACCCAACGGTTTGCTAAACTGATGCCAAAAATCTTGTCCCACACTACAACAAATGTTTGACTCTGCAGAGAGCCTATGTAGAATAAAATCAATATGCTGTTGTTGGAATACATGTCTTTGGATAAAACTGGTGTTCAAGAATGCCTTGGACACTTAGCTTGAATGAGCCTTATCTAATAGCAAATTGGATATGCATTTTCTCTCTATTAGAGATGGAATTCTTGAATCCCACCCCACCCCCCGCCATCCCTTGAAAATTCTCTTGGGAAGCGATGTGAAGGGATCAGGAATGAACAATACTGTCCTTGGCATTCTGCTTACGTGGGATGATTATTGAGCCTCTTGGCTTTAGAGATGAGAAAATGAAGTTCTGAAAAGTTGAAGAATTTCCTTAGAGGTGAAACAAGTACCCAAACACAGGATTATATGGCATTTAGGTACATGCTCCTCCTTCCAACCTAGGCTATCTCTTGAGAAATCAGGTATGGCCAATAGTTTGGTTAAATGACTCTGACATCTAATGTCCTCGTTCTATGACAAAAGTCTAATTAACGTTTTCAGCAATAGATTCTTAAAGCTTGAGGCAGTTCATTGAGGGGGAGATGGTCAGGTATTTGCTTGGTTTTATGATTAAATTACTTCACACAGATTTGAGTGTCTCTGTTCTAGGAACGATAAGGGAGCAAGAGAACAGTCTTCTGGACTTTAGGTCAGCTAAACGTTTCCCAGCCCTGGAAGGTATTTTGTCTAAAATCACGAAAAGGTTTCTGCAAGACCCTGGGGATTTCCACATTGACTTTTGTTTTTAACATTGGGTGACAGTTCCTTTTATCCCTTATTTTTTCTTCAAGACTAATCAATAAACTGTCTCTTCCCTTTCAAGATTACCTTGTTGCATTATTTGCCTTAATCCAGAAGTGGCAATGTTATTTTTTTTAGCCCTTTAATAATCATATCCTCAGTACAGATGATTTCAGAGCACACTTGTACAGTAGAAGCTTAATATTACAATCCCACCAATTTGTTTGCATTTATTATTCTGTCAAATTCTGCTCGCTGAATTAGGACACAAATATCACATCCATGAAGACACATCTGGAAAGCAAATTCCTTGTAAGAACATTTCATCCCATTGGGGTGAGGATTTGGAGAATAGTCACACACAGAAAGAAAGAGCAGGTGTTGGGCGGTGAGGCAACCATAAGAGTCAAGTTTAATTTAAACGAGGGAGTCCCCCTAGACCTGTGAAACCTGGGGACGAGGAGTCAGGCAGATGCGAGTCAGGGATGTCCAATACTAGTAAAGTTGTGCATAATGCATGTCTAATACATTTATATTTACATTTTAAATCCCCGGTTTACTGGCATTTGCTTTTTGTTTAGAGATTATAGAGGGATCCAGCTTTATTTTCTTCTAGGAAGGCAATGTTCTTAAAGCTATTGATTAAATACTTAGTGTTCCCCTCACCAGGCTGAAATCGTGTAATAAGCTCTACCTTTAAATAAGCTTCATGATCCTCTCTTCCCTCTCATTCTTTCTCCCTGCTTATTCATGAACCAAAATCATGTTCTTTGATCTATTTAGCTTAATTGATGTGTATTAAAATAACAACTATATACACAGTGCTCCTGGCATTGCCTGGGTTCTGGGAAACAACAGAGAGAAATGCTTTCCTTTGGAACTGGACATCCTAAAGAGTTTTAGTGTCTGGTATGGAAAGGTCCTTTCTCCTATTATTCTTATTTAGCATCAATTTCTTGGCAATTAAGGTACACTTATTTTCCGGTTGAACCTCTGGATCATTATATCTAGCATTAAGTAAGAATATTCTAATTTGACATTTGATTAGAATTCATTAAATTTATATATTAATAGTGTCTATTAATATAAAGTATATTTGGGAACCTGGGATATGGGATATTCTTCAATTTATTTATTTTTTAGCCAATGACATTGTCAAATCTCTTAGTAATGTTATTAGCATTTTTCAGTCTAGAGTCACCAGATTACCGTTATATCATATGCATATGATATCTTTATCTCTTTTTCCTAGTAACATAATAAATTTTCCATGATTATTTTATTACCTTAGACAGTTCCTAAAACATTATTTAATTTTTTTTCTGTTTTTATTTTCTATTTTTCAATGCTAATCATTTTAGTGTTTATTTTTAATATAATATTTGTGGTTGGTATTAAACAGTCTTTGAAATTCCATTACATCTTTATAACCTGGATTTTTTATTTCAAAATTAGAATTGGCAGCTATATGTCAGGAGGTATGTCTTAGCATTAAGTAATGTATTTATGGTATTCTTTTTATTTAACTTACAGTTTGATGAGTTATTTTCTAACATTTTCTAATGTTGAACTATCCCTGCATTCCTGTAATATGCTCTGCTTGTTCATGTTACTTTGGTTTAACTTGTTGATTTTTACATAGAACTTAGGTACTGTTTTGGATCCATATTCATCAGTGAAATACTTTAGAGTTTTCTTCATATTCCATCTTCATGAGGCCTACGAAGTAAGGTTATGCTAGCTTTGTAAATCAAATTGGGAAGCTTTCCATCATTTGCTATGGTCAGAAATTTTTTGGATAACATAAGGATTAGCTGTTCACTGAAAGTTAGATAGAATTCAGCTGTAAAACCATCTGGGCCTGGCACATACTTTAGTGAATAGATAATTTTTGAAGCATGTTTGTGGTACAGTGAGAAGAAGACTGCCTTTGTCGTCAAAGAATTACATTTGAATTCCTGCCCAACCCCGCTGCTCGCTGTGTGACTTGGGTGAGTGATTTACTTTCTATTCTGTGAGGTAGTGATCTACTACCTACCCATCTTATTGGGAAGATCACTTCCTAGACATGTTTATGAATTGAGAAAGAGTAAGTAAGAATCTGAACAGTATCTGATACAAAGTAGATGTTCAATCAATGGCTATTTCTCTTTCCCATCAGTCATTTTCATCTTAATCATTCCTTTCAGGTTGTGTGCATTCTGACAGTTATAGGAACAGCAAATATATTGATCTGTGATTATCTGAACTAAGTTTTCTCAACTCTCTGGAATGTCTGTGAGGACTTAGCCCAGCCCTACAGCTGAATGTGGCAAGTCATGGTGGGCGGGGGAATGTTGCACAGGTGTTCCTGTCTCAAAGCTAGTGTTTTTAATTTTGATCAAAATTCAGAAAAATTTGTACTCTCATTTGAAGAGGCAGTTCCTGGTTTCAGAGTTTTGAATTTGATTTACATTTCCCTACATGGGTACCCATGAATCTCTGTCGAATAAAACATGACCTTGAAGTTTTGCTGGTAAGAGTAGTTCCTTTGACAGACAGCCCTTTGAGCTAAATATATTCGTAATTCAAAAGCCTTCGTTTAGTGCCCCCGTCATTTATCTCATGAGCAGATGATTGCCCCATTCATTTATAGCTAATATTTATTTCTGAGATATTTCAATGCAACAGGTTTTTTTTTCTCCCAATGCAAAGTACTATGAAAATGCTTCAGTGGTTACAGGAGCAGTTTCTCAATGAATTAAAGGGGAAAATAAGCTCATTATCTTTAAAGTTTCTATAGGGAAAAAAATCTACGCAGACTGTGTTTACATGATACAAAGATAACTCTTAAACAATTAAAATGGAAAAAAAAAACTTTCTACACAATAGATCATGCCAGGGTAGATTATATATGTGCAGTCTAGGCACTGCACTTTTTCTAAAGGATATTGTAGGAATCATTATACTGAGCCAAAGGAACTTAGGATTCTGGGGGATATGTGATAGAGTATATTTAGATTTCATGCAGTTCTGACAGAATTCTGACAGAATTGTGTCATAGATTTTTGAAAGTTAATTTATCCAACTTAGTATGTTATGTTATATAGGAGTATTGACCTTCCTTCCTCCCCCACTGAAGTGTTCATTATTTATTTGAATTTTGGAACTCAAGGTTTGACCCTTGTTGTACATTTGTTTGACCTCTCTTATTTTCTCCTTCGGGAATTGAGTCCATCTTGGTTCCATTTGTTCTTCATCTACATTAGCTCTCCAAAGCAAATTTACTACAAGTCTGGTCCAGAAAACATTTCTGGAATTTAAGCTTTGTTTTGGGTGTTTGTGAGAAGGAAACTTGCCATCACCAAATCGAGTTTCTTGAGCCCACACAGAGTGTGTGGCATGGGTCCAATATTTCCTTTCTGGTTCCTTTGAGATTTGTTTATTACGTTGAAAATCATAATTTCCATAAAACACCATAAGACCTTCCTATATCATAGTACAAAAGAATAGCTGAGCAAAGAGATTCAGCTTCATTTTGAAGATTGGTTTTGTCACATGTATTAGCAACAATAAAAGCAAACACACGGAGCAAAACAACTGCAGTGGAAGAAGCACATGGTATAGGAAACTAAGCTTTTTATTTCTGATGCAACCTGTAGGGTCAACAAGATGTTGCTGGGTTTTGCTGGGCTGCCTCAGACCTGTTCAGATGCTTGTGTGCAAGGTAAAGTTTGAAATAATCATCCTGGAGGGGTGGATTAAGATCAAATTATAAAGCGTGATGTTGTTGACAGCTAAAGCAAATTGTCTTTCAGTTCAGTCACAGGAGACTTTGCTACTGAGCCTGGCTTTGAGTTTTAGTGTCTTTTTGAGTTTAGTGCATGGTGATAGACACAGGTCTAGTTTTAGTCTTTGGCATGTAGAAAGCCAGTTTTTCCAGCACCTTTTTTTGTTTTTTGGTACTGGGAATCGAACTCAGGACCTGCGCTTGCCGGGCAGGCACTTGTGCCACTGACCTATATCCCCGGCTCTTGTTGTTGATTTGAATATCTGTGTTGTCCAGCCTGCTCACCTTTGTCATGTGGGTCCAAGTCCCTAGTGTTCTCTGGATTACTGGACATCTAGTGATAATTTTCATATACCCGCAAGAAAGTTCTCAATTTCCAGAGAGAATTTTATTTGGACTGTAAATAGTTACCTTTCCCTCCCTCCCTCTCTTTCTTTATGATTGGTTGTTCTTGAATGTTGACTTATCTCTGTGTAAGAATGAGACCAAATTCTCACTAATCGGTACCGAAGTAAGAAAATAGCAACAGCACCTTTTGTAACTGACGCTCCTCAGTGCTGCACTGTCCAATACGTGCTCTTTTCAGATCATCCCAGGTTGTGCGGCACATGGTAAGTTGGTACTTCCTGGCCTGGTCATGGTCAGTTTGGGCCATGTGACTAGTACTGGCCAGTGGTTTATCAGGGAATTGATGAATGCCACTCCTGGTCTGGAGCATTTATGGCAGCAGCAAGAGCACCCAGAGCTCTCTTTCTCTCTGTCAAGTAATCAGCTGCTTTGTCAGTCATGATCTCTAGGGGTGCCCACTCCTCTTTACCCATGAGAAGCATGTAGCATGCTTTTTAAATGCTGAGATTGGGTCCAATATTAGTATTTTTAGACTATCCCTATATGATAGCACGTTTTAGACTATCCCTATACAAAGGCATGTGTTGGTTGCAAGTGCTGGCTCTACCTTGTTAGAAACACTTATAATTCTCCTGGTACTTTTACTGCTCTCAAAAGTACTCCATTGTCTTTCTTTGTATGTCCTTATTTGAAATGAAAAGTTGGTGCCCCTATGGGTATCTCCTTCCTGTGCTGCTGCTGTCATCTGAGAGTCATTGCTCTTAGTCATTCTCCATGACACAGTGAAACAGACAAGCCTGTATTCCAGGGTATTTGACCTTGGCCATTAGATTCCAATCCTTCTCTAGCCATAGATATCTGTAGGTACCTGTGGCATCTAACCATATCCCACGACCTTTAGTTACATGAAGCTCCCACCTTTGGACACCCGGCTCCTTTGAGGCTACCAGCACTTTACTTTGCACTGCCTGCATGACTTCTTCCAGTGATTTCTGCCAACCATGCCAAACCAGTTGGTCACCAAAGGCACCTGCCCAGGGCAGCAAGAATTTTAAATCACGGGAGTCATATTTCATGTACAGAAGTTTCTCTAGGAATGCAAGGCCTGGTGAAGCAACTGTCTGTGTGGTTCACTCAGGCCCTTGAATGGGATGACAACAAGACTTTTTCTGGTTTGTATGCTTTGTAACAGCAGAGTTAGATGAGTACAAGGCACCCAGCAGGAACTCAATAAATACTTGCTGAATAAGTCAAGTGAACTGAATATAGTTCATAGGTTAATGATATGCTGCTTAAATAACAAAGACTGAATTCTCCTGATTGCTTTTCTAGTTTAGAATCATGGTAAGGTAGGCTTTAGAGGCCTTCCTGCCTATGACCCTACACCAGATATTCAATTATTACAGCTCTACAGGAGTAGGTTAATTTCCCATAAAAGGACAGGCTTTCTTTTTATCTCCTTCACCCAGTCAGACGGGATTGTCCCCTCTGGTGTCCTAAGGATATTTCAAAACCACAGGTATGTGTGTAGTTTGGAATGCCTGAAAGCACAAAGCCACATATATTTTTTAAAAAGTATTACTATTTGCTTTTCTATTGTTAAAAGTTGAAACTATTCGTGTATTTACCCTGGGGACAGTCGTGCGTGACGGAGGTATGTGCACTCAGCGTTCTTTCCTTGTCTCTTGGGCTGTCACCCTTTGCTCGGGCTCAAATACAGTTCTTTGTTCACACAGTAAAGGGCTCGCACTGTCTGAATACACAAAACGTTCACAGTTGCCAGGGTTTATTTGCACACACACATGCTAAGGTAGCATGATTTTCCTTGTATTCTTAAATCTGCAGGTCACCTCTATGTGTTTCCGTGCTACTTCGTTGAAATAATTACTTGAAAAATGTATTTCCATCTGTGTAAAAGTTTATGTCCAAGACTTGTGGGCCAGCGGTTGCATCTGAGTAACAGAATTTCAAGTAATTTGCAGCCTCTTCTTACTTTTAATTTGCTTTATTTGGTTCTAGACAGCCTGGCTATGAAATACCATCTTCTCGGCCCTATGGTGAGAGCTGGAAATATGCAGTGTATGAAACCAGATAGAATTCTCGCTCTTGTGATCCTCGTAGCCCTTCTCACACTGGCAATAAGAATGCACATACATTAACTCATTTTTAAAGGTATTAAACATACCCTATAGATTTCAGCTGAGTTCTAACCTGGAAACCATGTCTGCAGCACTGACTTGAGGGATCCCCCTGTGTCATTAATAATGAAGTTCAGCAATGCAAACTTTTTAAAAAATGAATTATATCCCCATCTGTAAAGCATAAATACTCCACGTCTGCCTCGTGGAACGTGTGTACTCACAGCTGCAGCCGCACATCCTTGCAGAAATCACCGCTAATGAGCACTTCCTGTTCTCTTGTTTTTAGGTGACTCTGAGAAACCCGAGGGTGTTTAGACTGATGAATGAGGTGCTTGACTTCAGTCTTGTGCCTGCCCGGCTCCAGAGCTTATCTGCTTTCTGTTTGTTTTCTGTGCTCCTATTAGGTTGTTGTTAGTTACATTCTGATGTTTGTAGTTTGGGGAAATCTGTATCTTTGTTATTTATGTTATCAATAATGTGACCTGGGCCTTCCTCAGCAATGTTCCAACTGTTCCCAGGTCCTCAATCACTAATTATGCAGAGGAGCAGATTGTGGAAACTCTTTCCTTATGGCTCCATTCTGGAGGAGTTGTTTTTATTAAATTGCCGATGTCTTGAATTATAATTAGGTATTGGCCCATATTTTCAGCATTTCTCCTCACTCTGTCTCTGTCTCTCCTTCCCCCTCGCCCCTCCTCAGTGTTTTCTTGCCCTCTTTAAATTCTTTCCTTTTTCACTTACTACAGGCTGCAAACTTTATCAAAAGAGAAAGAGGAGCCTCAAGTCATTAGCGTCAGAAGCAAGCTTGCCTAATAGCAGATGACAGGGCAGCGTGTTCCGTATCAGGAGGTTCTGTTTCTTGCAAAAAGTCATTAGGATGTGGAGCAGCCTGCCAGACGAAGTGGTAGAAGCTGGAGAGCTTAACAAGTTCAAGGGCAAGGAAGGGATTTATTTACAGCCTTGCAACACAGCCTGGCCCGGTACAGAGAAGGAGACTTACCAGAAATCAGAGCAAATACAGAAAGAAAAATGGGGACCATCGGGACTTTCGATTTATGGTAGCTAGCCAAATCTTTATATGGTTCATCTACTTGCTCCTTGTGTGAGTTACACTGATCTTATTGTTTGACTCTTATTAAGCATTCAAGGCAAGTTCAACACCCTAATGAAGGTGGGAAACTTGACTTCCTTATTGCTTCCCGGAGCAACTTGCCTTAAGGGACTTTGAGGGCTTTTGCTTGAATGAGGCATAGAAGATGCAAGTTCACTATGAAATTGTTTTTAAAATGCAAAAATATAAATCCATATATGCTGAGTGATGGACTGTGGGAGATGAATAAGTACAGAGGTTACAGTGAAGGAGGAAAATGTATTAAGACCCAGATATAATAACGAAGACCAAAACCAATCCAAAACAAAATTCTCCTCTTGGTGTTTTGTTTTGTTTTGTTGGCTCCAAAAGAAATGTATGATTTCCCTTTCTCTGTTCTAATCTTGTTTAGAGACATCAAAAAATCTCATTTAGAGACATCAGAAAAACTGGATGTCACATTACATTCAAAAGTAGATAAGCACCAAACCACGTCAAGTTATGGGGAAAAAAGACCTATTGGAGAAGAAATGAGTAGATTCTTCCGAGGTATCCCTGTGTGCGTACACTTGAAGGGGGAAGGAATCAGGAGAACTTAGTGTAAGCATTAATATTAATTTGCCAGCACCTGGAAGATAACTAAGTGGTGAGGAGCAGTCATTATAAAATTACCAAAAAGTCACACATGCTAAACAAACCTGTCTCCTTAGTACTGTAGGAAGAAATAAAACCTAGATGGGTTTTGGTATACCTAGATGGGAAGAAAACTTTTGATACAATTAGCATATGAACACAGGATTCCACCCAAGTCTGAAAGAAATTGAGCCTCTGGAAGAATGTTAATAGGGATGGAAATTATGTTTACACATAAGTAATTGATACCTCCCACTATTTTTAAAATTTTAGATTAAAACAGTGGAGTAAAAGGGAATCTCAGTTTTTTGCTTCCAACTTAAGCATCTTAAGAGAGCAGTAGATCTAAACATTTTCTAGAGAAAGCCAGCTTATCTCTAAAGCCTTCCTGGGAAGAAAGCTCAGGTGACTGTTTAGGTGTTACACTTATTCCTACCTTTCATATGGTAATCCCCAACTATGGCTCCACTCTTGACAGTGCCAACAAAGCGAACTGCTGCTGTGTTTGTTTGCTTTCACCTTTAACTGTAGAATAGTATGAGCTATAAAGAAAAATCCTGATGGTAGTAAAGAAAGTTCTCATATATGATTTAACTATTTTTCCCTATTGTTAATATCTTATAATGGTATGGCACATTTTCATAAGCAATGAACTAAAACTAATACATGCAAATATTATACACATATACACACTTATTTTTAACTAAAATTGTGCTTTATGCAGATTTATTTATTTATTTATTTTTACCTAATGTCCTTCCTCTGGCCCAGGACCTCAACCAGGATACTGCATTGCACTTAAGATTTGTGTGCTCTTGTAACCATTTGGTGTCCCCTTATGAGAGTTTCCCACATCCTCTTCGTTCTTGGTGTTCTGGAGCTGACGATTTGGAGGAGTACCCACCAGCCATTTTGTAGAATGTCTCTCTGTTGGATGTGTCTGATGTTTCTGTCATGGTTAGAACTAGGTTATGGTATTGGGGAGGAAGAGCACGTGGGCCTAGGCCATTCTGATTACATCGCACAAAGTCCAGGTGCTCTGTCACTTAGCTCTGCGGATGTCGATCCTCATCACCTGCGTGGGGCAGCACTTGTCAGGCTTCCTCACAGTCAAATCATTCCTCTTTCTCTTCTCATGCTGCACTCCTTGTAAAGAAATATTTATTTTTTTCTTTTTTTTTATTTTAAAGATAAAAGGAGAGAAACATTAACAGACATACAACATTTTACAACATATCACGAGCACAATACAGACAATACAGAGTTACAAACAAAGTGGTAGGGAATTAACAATGGTGGTTGTATTACATATTGATATCTTCAAAGTGGCTTCTCATGAAAACAGATATAAACATGCAATACTGGTCAACCAAAGACTCATTGACAGTTGTAAAGAAATATTTAAACAAAGCCCATGCTTAACGGGTATGAGGCTATGCTCCACCTTCTTTAGAGTGGGAGGTAAACAGGAATTAGATAGAATTGTGTTTTATCAGACAATTCCTCGAGAGAATGTCTTGTTTCAACAGTGTTCCATTTTGTCACCTCTACTCACTGAGCTGGACTGGTTTATTTCTTGAAAATTTTATTTTTAATTTGAAAATTATACCTAGTTAGATTTTTTTTTACATACATTTTTGAAATACAGTAACTACACCAGGTGCTAGAAGAAAAAATCTTTAAGTTCAATCCACTAAATCAATTTATTTTACTGTCTTGTCCTAAATATAGGCAAGGGTGCTTCTCTTGCTGCCTTTCCTGGGACATTTCCAGGGTGTCTGAGCTCATCTCTCCGGTGTATACTCAGCTGCTGTTCAGGATGCAGACGCAACATGTTGCCACGTGCTCCTACCTCCCTCTCAGTGTTGCCCTTGTTTTCTGAAGTTCCAACCCTCTACCACCATTTTATCTTCCATTCCTAAGTAGATTTTAAAATGCCAATAAAAGAGAATACACATATTAACATAGAATGCCAGGACTTTCATTACTTGGGTTTAGAGTTTCTAGGTTAAGACTAGAGAAGAGGTTTTATCTCATGGGTCTCCTTCTACTAGTTATTAGGAACTACCTAGAAGGCTGTATTGAAAAGGATTTCAAGTACCTGTCCAGACTTATAGGGGAAGAACTATATGACAGAAAAGATATGCATATGGGAGAGAGAAAATATGAAATGCTAACTCTGGCTAAGAGGACAGGACTCTCGTACTATCAGATACTCTGACTTTATCAAGTAAATCATAAGCTAATTCTAGGCTTTAAAAGACTTATTAATGTCTGACTTGGTTGTTTTTATCAAGATTATGGAAAATAAAATCTGGTAATCATCATCTATTGTATAATCAAGCAACATATTTATCTCTGGGAAACGCTTGACCCAGTTAGGATAACTTTGGAAAAGACAGCAGTTGAAGAAGACTGCAAGATTTCCCTCCCAAGAAGGAAGTCATAGTTTTCCTTTAGATTTTCCATTCAAGTGAGAGTGCAGAATGAATGTGGTAGAACAGGGCCAGTGTTCAGGGGAAGGACTCATGCTCAGAGTACAGAAAACATGCTGCACAGGGGTCATTTCATCTCCCAAGCCTATTTCCCTCCTTTGTTCCTTTGGCCATTGATCTAATACAGTTCCAGCTAAAGGTATTAATGGGAACATCACATTTTAAAATCATTTATCATAACGAAGAAATTATTCTCAAAAGTATGGGCTTGTGTGAAAACTAGTGCTCAACGCATCAATTTCAGTGTGCTTATAAATGCAACACGCGTGCCAGCATCATGTATCAGATGTGTAGGAAAAGTTTCCACCGTACTACATGATTTATCTGAGTGAGATCAGAATGCCTGAAATCTTTACCAATGCTGAATTCCTCTGTTGGAGAGGTCTTTACCCAGCAGGTTTTTATTAAATTTGCTCAAGAAGGATTTTTATAAAATAAATTCACTGTAATATGTTATAACTACTTTTGCCTAAAGGACCTGAATTTGCTAAAGAATATCGTAGATATGAGGGGGAAATGACAAGGACAAAGCAGAAAACTAAATGTCCTCTAGCCTTTTAACAATATTAACAAATTTTAGTACTTGTCAATTTTTTGGGAGGGGGGGACAAGAGGAAGTAAACACGCTCATATGATGTAAGCCAAGTATAATATTTTATACTCGACTTAAAAATACTTAATGTTGTAAAATGATTTGACAGAAGAATGAAGAAACTCATTTAAAAGTTTGCAGGTAATGGAAACTCAGAAGGGGTGCTCGTGTTATTGAGTTCAGAATTAATATACAAAGTAAAGTCCTCTCATCACACTGGATGCATAATCCAAACCAAATGGGAAGAATTTCATAATCACTAAAGGGAGCATATTTTACTGGGGGAAATAGAACAATGTGATGCATATGTTTACCAAAAGACAAGTCCATTCATTAGTCATTTGGTACACTCCTAAAAATGATAAACCTGCTCAAGCAACCACCAACGACAGAATGCATAAGTACATCATGATATATTCCTATAGAATACTACACAGAAAATCTTAAATACACCTAGAGTAATCCGTAACAACATGGGAGCGTCTCAAAAAT